GTAGCTTTGGAGCCTGTCCTGGAACTAGCTCTTGTAGACCAGGCTGGCCTCGAAACTCACAGAGATCCGCCTGCCTCTGTCTCCCAAGTGCTGGGATTAAAGGCGTGCGCCACCACCACCCGTCGGCATATTTATACTTTTAAAGTTCATTAGGAATTTCTGCTCTGGAAATTCTCCCATGTGCTATTAAGGTTTTAATGATTATTGTAATAACTATTATAAGGAGCCAAGATCTTCCTCCACTTTCAACTTATATTCTTTTTTAAATATTTATTTATTATGTTTACAATATTCTGTCTGTATGTATGCCTGCAGGCCAGAAGAGGGCACCAGATCTCATTACAGATGGTTGTGAGCCACCATGTGGTTGCTGGGAATCGAACTCAGGACCTTTGGAAGAGCAGGCAATGCTCTTAACCTCTGAGCCATCTCTCCAGCCCTTCAACTTATATTCTAAGAATATATGTGACATTTTGTTTTTTCTTTCCCCCCTCCTCCTCCCTTTTAAAGATAGGACATCACATATCTCAGATTGCAGCTCCAAACACCATCATACCTGTGTTATGTGGTCCTGGGGTTCAAACTCAGAGCTTCATAAGTACTAGGCAAGCTCCCTACCAGCTGAGTCACACGCCCAGCCCTTCAAAGGTATTTCTAATAGACATTGAACTTAACATTTTAATATTTCATTTAATCACCATATTGCTCAAAAAAAATTTTTTTTTTTTTTAAAAAATGTGAGTTACAAGGCCAGGGACATGGCCCAGCAGGTGAATGTGCCTGCTACCAAGCCTGACAACCTGAGTTCAGTCCTTGGAACCACATGGTAGAAAGAGAAACCCAGCTCCTAGAAGCTGTCCTTTGACCTTCACACATACGCAGTATTATGCTACCCACATACATATAAAGTAAAAATGTAATTTGAGGCTGGAGAGATGGTACAATGATAAAGAGCACTTGTTTTTCGTGGAGGACTTGGGTTTGGTTCTTAGCTGCTCCTTGGTGGCTCATAACCATCTATGATTCTGGTTCCAAGGACTCTGACACCTCCTTCTGACTACCACTGGCATCAGACACACATGTGGTATATGTTCATTCATACCTGCAGTAAAACACTCATATAGATAAAATAAGTCTAAATGTTTTTAACATAAATATACGTATATTGTTGTTTACATAATAATGAGTTAACCAAAGATATAAGAGCTAGCCAGCAATACACTTAAATGATTGGTCATGCTGTGATTTAAATAATATAGATTCTGTGTGATTATTTTGGGAGTCTGGGTGACTGGGAAATGAACAAGCAGCCTCCTCCAACAGTTGTTGTTTGGTTTTTCAACAACTCTTTGTAACCCTGGCTGTCCTGGAACTTGCTCTGTAGACCAGGCTGTAGAGCCGCCTATCTCTGCCTTCCAAGTGCTGAGATTAAAGGCGTTTGCTACCACCTGGCAAATGTAATAATTTTTAAAAATGAGCTGTCTCTGAGATCTCATCAGGCTCATTAGTCCTACCTTTGACAGTCCTGTGTACGGCACGGCCTGAGTGTAAATCCTGCCATTCTTTTTAGCTCTGCTGTCATAGTCACTGCCTCTAGGCAGGCCTCATGATCCTCCCATGACTGCATCCTGTTTGGTTATATCATTCTGGTTGGCCAGAAAAAAAAATCTTAAAATTAGGAGGGATTACGACTCCCTCTGCTCATACTCCTGGAGTCTCCTATTATTTGAAGACAGAACGTGAAAAAAAAGTCTTCAAGCTAGATTTTTTTTTAATATTTATTTATTTATTATGTATACAGTGTCCTGCCTGCAGGCCAGAAGAGGGCACCAGACTTCTTTACAGATGGTTGTGATCCACCATGTGGTTACTGGGAATTGAACTCAGGACCTTTGGAAGAGCAGGCAATGCTCTTATCCACTGAGCCATCTCTCCAGCCCTTCAAGCTAGATTTTTCCACCCTCCTGCTCTGACTTCACACCAGCTAGAGGCTATCATGTGCTAATCTTTTCCAACAGGTGTTTCTCTCCATACACCTTTGGATCTTGCTGTCCCCTTTGTCCAGGAATGTTCTGCCATCCAGTTTGAGACATGAAAGACAGGAAGAACATGGCTTATCCCTTTCTCCTGCAGGCCTGTAAGTTGGCAGCCTGCTTTCGCCACCATCTGAAACTGCACCTTTACGCTGGTCTGCTCGCTCACTTACCTTCGCCTGGCCACTAACTTACATCTATCTGGCTTGCCACATCACACACACTTTTAGCTGTGATCTGTGTTCCTCACTGAAGTCTTTGGGAGCCAAGGGAAGGATCGTCTGCTAATTTTGTTCATTGCTAGTTCACTTGCCTTGCATACTACAGGCATCCAGCAAGCACTTGCTAAATGGGTCATTCCAAAAATAGCTTTGTGTCCATCAGCTGCACTGTCCCCTACTCACACCAGCCTTTCCAAGTGGAGAATTCTGTAGAGGCAGAGAGAGTGTCCTGTTCACCACTGAGTTTCCAGAACAGAGTCCTATCTATGCTCAAAAAACATGATTTCTAAATCTGATTTGCATGTGGGTTCTTAGCATCTGGAATCTTAATTCATTCAAGTATGCAGCTGTATTTACTGAGTGCTACTTCCCCTTCCATAAAGGATTATTATTGGTTTACTCTTTGTTCCTTCTTCTTTTTTTTCTTTCTTTCTTCTTTTTTTTTTGGTGGGGGGAGGTTTCGAGACTGTATAGCCCTGGTTGTCCTGGAACTAGCTCTTGTAGACCAGGCTTTGAACTCACAGAGATCTGCCCCTGTTTCTGCCTCCCGAGTGCTGGGATTCCAGGCATGCACCACCACCATCAGGCTTGTTTCTTTCTTTTGAGACAGGAATTTGAAAAGATAGTCTGCAGCTCAGACTATCCTTGAACTCTTAGTAATCTTCTGCCTCAGCCGCCTAAGTGCAAGGCAATACTATTTCAGAAGTACTGAAGGCAAGTCTATAAGGTTTGTAGCTCTTATGTCCAACTTAGTTTAACGTTACTTCACCAAGAAAATACGTGAGACTGAGGTAGCATGTTGCTGTAGGAGATCTTGTGTGCCCTCACAGGTGGGACTGCCTGGCACCCTGGCTTCCGGCCTGGGAGGATGCCACAGGCCTCTGTAGCGTTGCCCAATAGCCCAGATTGGTACAGAAGGCATGTCCATGTGTGGATTAGGCAGGTGGACCCCACTCCCTGGCAGACAAACAGAAGTAGTCCCATGGAACAGGCAAAGGTTCTAAAGCGAGAATTTATTCCAAGTGCACGTGAGAGGTTGGACAGCCCTCTCAAAGCCTGCATTATTCCAGAAAGGCACATATTTCAGCGTGGGTAAGAAGCCCTCATCAACGTTCTCCTAGCCCTTCCATTCTAGCCTGAGCCGGGGCAGGAAGAGGGTCTCTAACAAAACACAGGCACCTAAAGGCTGAGAGAGAATTATACAGCCTCATTTTTTATTAGCATCTACCAAGACAGAAAAAAAAAATCAAAATCCTCCCACTACTCCAATCCCACCTCCAGCTGGGCCCTAAAGGAGTAGTATCTGCCTGGGGAGCCCCTGCCACCAGAGCTGTTCTCAGAACTGGGCACGTGTGCATGCCACCCCTTATGCCTGTGAACTGGCCACAGGTCTCTTCCTCCCCCAGGTGGGGACAAAAGGGCAGCTGGTCTTTCTCCTGTCCTCAGCTCTCCGTCCTCTTGGGAACTTTGAAAAGATCAGCGATGTCCAACAGTGCTTGGTGGATGTGGTTCCCAAAGCGCTGGGCACTCTGTGGGCACAACTGAGGAGCTCAGATACGTTTTCAGGACAGTCCCCACCCCTCTGTGCCCACAAGAGGATGGAGTGTGCTTCTGGGATACCCCAGGTAGTGCCTCGTTGTGAGACCACCCCAAATGGGAACAGGGGAGACTCACCGTCTCGGAACTTGAGAACTTGCTGGAAATGTGGAAGAACATAGTATTTTCACCTGCGATCATGTAAGAAACCCCATAACCATCATCTGCCACCTGGGGACAAGAAGCAAACAAGACCCAAAAGTCAAATCAATGTATTTTCCCCTTCCCGCAAGATTCACAGGAGGCGGGCCCATGTTGGACACTGCGTTCTTGAGGTCAGCCCCCACTCTCATAATCCAGGAAATAGTATGCAAACCGAAGGACTTTGCCTCTGGTTCCAAGACTGGAACTTCTGTTTCTTCTAAAGGATGCTGTCCCTGTGTTTGGGGGCTTCCTCAGGGACTTACACTATAGATCACCCCCCTCTTTGTAACAATCACTACTCTTCTGCCAGAGTAGCTCATGTTCTCCTCAGAAGAATACAGCTCTGAAGGGCCCAGTGTGTTGCCGTGTCCCCTGAAGACTACACTTGGGCACAGTGATGCCGCACTAGGAAGGCAGGAGGAATGGGTAGGTGCTGGCACCTGCGTCCCTAAGTCAGCAGCTATCACTTTACATTCACACGGGTCCTCCCTCAATAAGGTGCTTGTGCCCATGTCTGCACCCCTTAAACTGAAACTCCAGGGTCCCGGTGCTGCCAGCCACTCTCCTTCTGGGGTACTCACAGGGCCAAAGCCACCTCCAGCACCCAGATGATTGGGGTACTGATTTGGGTCAAACATGCGGATCTGGTACTGAGGAATCTGGCTGGTGGAAAGGCTCCAGGGTTCCGAAAGCACCTGTAACAGGGAGGCAGAAGCCTGTCAGACACGGGGCACTCAGTGTGCACCTGTCCTATCTGCGGTGCTTCACTGTAGACACAATCAGCCAGGCATGGTGGTACACTCCTGCAATCCCAATACCGAGGAGGCAGAGGTAGGAGGATCACCCATGAGTCCAAGGCCAGCCTGCTCAGCATAGTGAATTCCAGGCCAGCCAAAGCTACATAACAAGACTTAGTCTGAAATAAGCAAGCAAGACAAAAGGCACTATTGGAGAGCACAGAAATGGGCATGTGTGGTGCAGGAGTCCCCTGAACTCCCTATGTTCCTCTGCCCCATACTGAAAATCTCAGCATCTGCATAAGCTCTCCACCTTTGCGGTTGCAGGTTGCACCGTAGCTGCCTTGGTCCCCTCTGACTTGCCCCTCCCTGCCCTCAGCCCGTACACTCACTGACTGGTAGAGCACACGTGTGTCTCCTTTCCCTCATAAGAGTGCTAATTCCACAGAGCCCTATCTATCGCAAGAAGGCCTTGCTTTGGGCCTAAAGGCAAGGGGATAGAGGTCACACCCAGCAACTTTACTGACCTCAGCCAGGAAAGGAGACCTAACCCCCAAGTACTTGGAGACGATGTAAAGGCAGAAGAGGTGCCTGTCGATCCCAGCCCCAGTCATGGCCAGGCGGTACATGTTCTGGTGCTTTTCAGAAGCTTTCCGGAAGAGCTCCTGGAGGTCTTCTTTCTGGGGGTCAGAACAGAAGGGTCAAGTGGCCCTTGAAGTAAACAGGGGTGAAGGAGGAAGAGAGACAAGGTGTGGGGGGCTCACCTTATGGGACCCCTTCATCATGGCCTGCACAAAGGCTGTGGACTCACTGGTACAGGAACGCACAGTCTCAGTCCGCCCCTCTCGGAACATTCTCGTCATTGAGGCCTCGTACGTCAGGCAGAATTTGCCTTTGTCCTGGGGTACACAGTAGGTCGAGTCAAGCAGGTGGACCCTGAGGATGCCCTGCACACTCAGCAGCCCTCAGAAGCTCCTACCCGGAAATGAGCCAGCTGCAGGGCAATCTGTACAAAAGCGTCGGGGCTGGTCCGACACTTCTTGATGAGGCCTTTGCCAAAGGGTAAGAACTGGAAGCAGAATAACTCCACATCGTCGGCCAGTGCCTTGGCCACCTGGTACGAATTCTCGATGGCTTCCCGGCACTGCCAAGAGGTGGAAAAGGGTCAGTTGAGGGCAGAGTCCTCCAGGGAGGCCTCTAGGTCTAAGAGGTGTGAAGTCTAGGTGTTGGATGAAAGAGTCGGCCCAACAGCTTCTGAAGACACAAATGACAGCCTGTGAGGACTCAGCACGAGGCCATGCTGAGCCTGGTGCAGAGGAGGGAACACTGATCTTGGACATGGGTCACAGATCTCACTATTTCTCTGAGCAGACACCCTGGGGTCTCCGCTCTCCTTGTGGCCCACATGGCACCCTTCATCCTGAGGGTGAGATCTAACCCACCCATTCCTGGCCTGCATACCTGCTCAGGAATGTCCCACTGTAGTCGCTGAGGGGGTGTCAGCGTCCTGTTCAGTTCGCCCACACAGTGTCCAGTCTCCGTGTAACCCAGGTGAAGGGTATCAGTGCCCAGGACAAACTGCAGGGATAAATCAAAACTGAGAAACAAGCATCATTGCCAGTAGCTGCCCTGAAGGTTCCCTCTCTAGGCCTTTACCTCCCAGAGGTGCCCAATAATGGGGGCATCTGCCCATGAGTGTTCTGCGTTGAGGCCCAGTGTGCCATTCTTGAAGGAAATAAGAGTGAAAGATTTGTCGAACCACCTGTAGGAGTAGATCAGGGTAGACCCAAAGCTGGGAAATTACACAGATCTCCAACCTCCATCCCTAACCCTATACTGCTAACGCTAATGAGTCAATTCTAATTACTAACCCGCAACTTAACCTTAACTCCTACTGCTTTTTAAAAAATTTAGCGGGGTGGTGGTGGCGCATGCCTGATGTGGAATTCCCCTCTGTATGCTGGTTAATAAAGAAACTGCTTTGGACCTATAGCAGGGCAGAACCGAGGTAGGTGGGGAAACCTATATTGAATGCTAGGAGAAAGAGGGCGGAGTCAGAGGAGAAGCCATGTAGCCCCGCTGGAGACAGATGCCGGAACTTTACCCAGTAAGCCACAGCCTCCTGGCGATACACAGATTAATGGAGATGGATTAATTTAAGATATGAGTTAGCCAGAAATATGCTTAAGCTATTGGCCAAACAGTATTGCAAATAATTTGGTTTCTGTGTGATTATTTCAGGGCTGAGCAGCTGGGAACAAACAAGTGGCCTCAAACAACACATGCCTTTAATCCCAGCACTCAGGAGGCAGAGGCAGTTGGATTTCTGTGAGTTCGAGGCCAGCCTGGTCTACAGAGGGAGTGTCAGGACAGCTCAAAAGCTACACAGAGAAACTCTGTCTTGAAAAACCAAAAAAAAAAAAAAAAAATTAAATTACATTTGCATGTGTGGAGGTCAAAGGATAACTTTTGAGAGCTGGTTCTCTCCTCCCATCCTGTGGGTCCTGGGGTTTGAACTCAGGTCATCAGGCTTGGCAGCAAGGACCATCACCCACTGAGCTATCTCACTGACCCCCATCTCTATTCTTAATCTTCCACTCCAGCCTTAACTAGTACCACCTTACCCCTAAATAATGCTACCTACCCATTAACTTTGACCCTGACTTCTACTTTAATCTTCTAGCCTATAATTCCAATCATTAAATTTTTTTTTAAATTTATTTATTTATTATGTACCAAATGTTCAGCCTCCGTGTATGCCTGCAGGCCAGAAGAGGGCACCAGATCTCATTACAGATGGTTGTGAGCCACCACCATGTGGTTGCTGGGAATTGAACTCAGGCGGAAGAGCAGTCAGTGCTCTTAACCTCTGAGCCAACTCTCCAGCCACCATTAAATTTTAACTATAAACTGAGCAGTGGTAGCACATGTCTTTAATCCCAGTACTCAGGAGGCAGAGGCAGGCCTGGTCTACAGAGAGAGTTCCAGGATAGCCAGGACTACACAGAGAAACCCTGTCTCGAAAAACAAACAAACAAACAAACAAACAAAAAAAGAAGAACTCAGAACTCTAACCTCTGTCTGTCCCATGAGTTCGGGGCACCTACCTGTTGTAGCAGTTACCATGCAACAAGGCCTTGCCGTAGAGGCTAAGACTGGACTCATCGTCAGGGTTGTAACAGTGAGATTCTTCGTCCAGGGCGATAAAGAAAGCAGCACGCTCAATGGCATCCAGAGAAGTCCTGTTCTTGCCAGAGCTAAAGAAGGTCTGACGTGCCTGTGCCCATTCTACCCTGGGGGTGGGTATAAGGACGGGTAAGCAGTTGAATCCAACTTTTTATCAGGGTATCTTAGGATCTGACTGAATGAGGAGACGAGATGAGGTGGTGCCACTCGGGTATCCTGTCCTTACCACCCTTCAGTCTGTATTATGTGCCTATCCTGGGGGGCCCTCTGACCCTCAGTTCTAGGATAGAGGTAGCGCCAAGCTTTTCTTCTCATGAAGCCTTGAACCTGGGCCTAGCCAAGCCCTCCCCACAGGCCCTGGGTACCTTCCTCCTGCGGTGAGGGCTGCCAGCTTCTCCTCCCCGGGTTGAGGCGGGGAAGAGTCATCCAGGATTCTCTGGAACTGCAGCTCTAGGTCTCGAGGCTTGAGCAGGCGAGAGCCCTCATAGAGCCACACCTTGAAGAAGCGGCCTTTGTGGTAGACGGCCACGTGTCTGCTCTCTGCCAGGTGCTGTAGCACGTCTGTGACAGAAGCCAGTGGGCAGTTGAGGCGGGACCTCAGTGAAAGGGCTCACCTCCCACACACAGGCGGCCCCACAGACTCTGCTTTGCCTCATATCTGACCTGGGCCTTCCTTCGTTTCCATGCTAAGCTAGTGCCTGTGCCCCAAGTGAACCCCTCCCACTGCTTCTTTGGGCTCTAGGAGGGATAGGCCGTCTCCTCCTGAATTCCACTACCCCAGCCGTGCTCCTTTCATTGCTCTTTACTCATGACTGCCTTCCTTGGTACTCGGAAGCCCTGGAAGGACATCACCACGTCTGTCCATAACAACTATCTAGTAGTCACAAACTGACCGCTTCTCACAATCCTGAGACACTGGAGTGCTGGAGAAAAACAGTAGCTGGGTATCTAGCTGTTGTGGCTAGGACTTCCTCCTGAGGGGTGCCCGGGAGGGGAGGACTCCTTTTATGGAGGCCTCGCTGTAGCCCCGTACCTGTTTCCTTGCCTGGGATGCGTGTAGTGTTGAACATCCGCTCCATCTGGTAGGAGCACATGGGTACCATGCCCAGTGCCATGACCTGGGAGGAAGGCCCAGCATGGCTTAGACTCAGACCTCCTTTCCTTACCCCACCCTTAAGCCTAATGGAACTCACAGGTTTGATCTGTTCACGGTCCAGTTTGCGGCGATACATGATCATAGCGTGGACAACGTTTCCCAGTCGTGCGGCTTGCACATTCGTGTTCCTGATAAGCACAAAATCCTACAGACAGAGCAGAGTCTGTAGGCTGGGCTCCTCTGTGTGGGTGTCCCCAAGTCTCACTAGCCTGAGGAAACTTCAGGGGCCTGAGGGATTGTGTCCCCTGTCTATGTTCCATCCTACATCATGTCAGGGTGAACTTGCAGAAATGTGTAACTGGCAGGCTCCTGCTCCGACCAGAACTGTTCTCTGCCCATTCATACTCTGCTTGTTTTGCTTCAAGGGGGTTCTACCACAAAACAGCAAAAACAAATCCTTGATTTGGACAGGTGGCAAACTGCCAGAAAGACAGCCAATGGATGGGGGGAATTCCAGGAGGTTAGCGGTGTGAGTTTTAGACATCAGGGGAAACTGGGCCCTGTGCAGCAGGAAGATCAGCTACTTGTCACCAGTATATGGACACCAGTCACGCGAAGTGAGGCAGACAGTGACTTAGTGCTAAAAGAAGCTGCTAGTCATCCTGTGGTCTCACTTACAATGGGACAACAGCAACGTATGTTTTAAGAAGCTCTCTGAAAATGGTGTCAAGGTAGCTGAGAACCTGTGCCTGAGAGGCCAGGAGTTAGGAAGCAATGGGGTATGGTATAACCGGCCTGAGAAATTCATCGGAGTCTCAGAATTCTTCCTCTTGTCACGGTCCCTACCACCCAGGCCGGCTCTGGACTGCTGTGCCAGGATCTTTCCTCCCTTTCTCTTTCCCTCAGGCCTCACTCCCTAACCCCCACTCACCCATGGAAACCGAGGCAAAGGCTCTGGGATGTCCTCTAGATCCTTGTTCCAGAGCTGGGGACAGAGCTGGGCACACAGGAGCCCTAGGAGGCCCTGGTTCTTACCATGGCATAATAGTTGCTGTTCACCATGATGGGGCTCCTGCCTCGGAGGTAGACGTACTCTTCCCACCAGTCGCTGACCTGTGGAGGGTCAGGTGCAGGTTAGAGCTGAGGAGGCCGAATCAAGGACATGTGGATAAGAGCGAGGCCGTCAGGGCAAACTTACATAGTTAGTTGCCCACCATGACTTGAGAATCAGGTATTTCTGCAGTCTGGGGGCGGTCTTGTCCTGGAATTCTTTGGCCAGTGTCTCCATGCGGTAATATTCTTCATCATCCAATAAGGGCCGCACGGAATCCAGGTACTGTCCAGCCAAATTATTATCATGACGATGGCTACACCGCCACATTAACCTTCTTACAACCTCTCCTCAACCAGACCCCATTCTTCTCAAGCCAGCCATTTGTGGAAAACAGTCCTGATAAGTTTGGGCTGGTCCTCTGAAGCCGGGACTTTGTGCTCTTTGATACTCGGGCTCTTACCCGCTGAATCGTGGCTGGCACACTGGGTACGGGAAGCTTAGGCAGAGATGTCTGGAAGCTATAGAGCATGGGCCGACGACTGGACAGAAGGCGAACACAGATCTAAAGGTACAGAGTACAGTGTTGGGGTGGGACTTAGCAGGAAGAATGAACACAAACTAGAAGATGACCAAGTCCTCGGGACCATCCCAGCTCCCTCAGGACAAACATGCACCAGGCACTGTTGTCCAGTGTGCCTCTCCCTTCTTGCTCGGTACCCCAAATGAGATTCCCCAGATGCCTGCCCACTCCGGTGCTTCTGCTCACAGCCCAGATCTTGGTGGCATTGCTGGTCTTGCTGTGCATCTCGAACATCCACCCGTGGTAGGAAAGCAGCAGCTTCAGGGTTTGCCGGAATAGGAAAATGCCTGTCGCCCAGATGCCGGTGGAGAAGATGACCATGCTGAGAAGGTCCCGGGTCTGTGGGGTCCCATAGGGGCCATACCTATTGGAGAAGGAGGCAGGCTTCAGGGTATCCCTTTGAGCTCATCTTTTGGGGAATTCTAACTGCAGCTGATGGCTGTAAACTCTCTTGGAGAAGACATGAATGGAAAAGACCTCGCTGGGTGCACCCAGGTCCAAGTGCATCAAGTAAACAAAGGGCCTTGGAACCGGGAGATGTAGTCCGGCGTGTGAGAGGGCCCCTCGGCTGCCAATGGCTGCCTTCCTGCATCTGTCCTCTACGGGAATCCTGGCCTTGGGAACAGTCTTTGCTCTTTTTCCTAAAACTGGTGTCTTCCAGGTGCCTTACCTGTCAGGGAGGTATTTCTGGATGCAACACACCAGCCCCATGGAGATGTCCACCTTGCAGTAATTGGCACCAACTGTTGCCATGACAACAACAAGCCAGCTGGTGGGGCTGCCAGGGTACACACCCCTTAGGATGCCATTCTGTGGGAGGGGGGAAGAAACAGGCATCTTTGTGGAGTGAGAAAATGTAATTCGGCGCCCGGGAAGTCCTGAGAAAGGGCTCCTGGTCCTGCCTCAACCATTCACTGTGTTCTTCCTCCGCTCACATCTACAGTCTATGTCCCAGCCCATCTTCTTCACGATCCTGCCGGCTTCTGCACTATTGGACCCTGTCTAGAACCAGCAGTATTGCTGGCCAGAGGCGGAAACAGCCGCTGACAAGAAGACTAACTGCGGACAGGTGGCTTCTGCCTAGGCACCTGCTGGGAAAAAAAGAGACCCCGAGAACCACCTGTTCCCACACCTTAATTCGAATAAGGCGTTTCTTCCAGGAGTTGATTCCAGACTGATAGATGTGTCTCAGAGCCTCCCGACTAAGCCGGAAGTCGACTCCATCAGGGGTCACAGTGAACTGGAAAGCTACTGCCTGGTGTGCTTCCGCCATTCCGGGGAGGGGGGTTTAGTCAGCACCTAAGGGTAGGGGCAGAAGGTGCTTAAAGCGCTCAGCCCAGCCCCGCCCCCGCCCATCCACCTCTAGCTGAGGCTCCGCCCCCACCGCCCCACCTGGTCTTCGCTCCCCACACCCCTCCCCCCCCCCCCCCCCCCCCCCCCCCCCCCCCCCCCCCCCCCCCCCCCGTGCTCCAACGCTACGCGCCCCGCTGGGCCCTCCCAAGCCTGGCTAACCGCCGCTGCCGCCGCCGAACCCTCGTGGGGTTCCGGACAGGCCTATCTGCAATGGTGCAGGAGTCTGGCTCCAGGTACCCCAAGGACGGCGAAGGGCGGTTTGGGGTCCGGGAAAGACGCCCAGGGAAAGGAGTGGGCTTGGACAGAGCCTAGGTTTAGATGCGCCCACAGTCCTCGCTCAGAAAGCTAGGCCGACAGTAAAGGCGAAGAGTTGTGGGATGGAATGGCCCTGGGTCCGGCTGGCCTCCTGTGCTGGTCCCCCACTCACAGCTCAGGTTTGCTTCAGTCGGTGTATGGGTCTGGCCACTCTGGCCCATGTCCCCACGTCCTTCAGGCCTGGCCCCGCCCTGCCCTCACTGGGAACTTGACACCCACTCCCAAATTGGGGTGGAGAAAACAGATTTGGGCGGAAACCAGAACCCCCTCCTTTTTGGGGGGGGCACCTAGGAGAGGTTGGCAGGGTTCCCCCACAAGCCTGCTGAAGGTTGCTGGAAGGTCTGGGACTGGGGAGTAGAGGGTCTCACGTGAGCATGGTTGCATCAGTGCTAAAAATAGCCGAATGTAGGGAAAAGGTCACCAGGAGTCAGCTCTGCAGCCTTTTCCCTTATTTCAGGGCTCAAGGTTGACAATCACATCCAGGGCCCGCTGTTGCCCCACCCCCTCCAAGTCTTCTTCCCCAAGTCAGTATTTGTTACTGGTAAACTTGAGCCCGGGAATATTATGGGATAGGAAATCTCAATGCGTGGAACGGACGGACCCCTTGCTATTTTTAAGCATGGTGCACTAAAGAGAAACCACTTAAATCTGCATCCCTCGGTTTGTACTTCTGAAGAAATTCATTTATTTAGGTACACGGTCCCAGGGGTTCCCAGATGCCCACCTTGGTCAACTACTCAAAACAGGGGGACAGAGGTCAGCTATTTTAACAGCTGTCTCACTTAAGAGGCACAGCCCAGTCTCTGGGGTCTCTTCTTTGCCCCTCTCTCCAAGGTCCTGCCCTGGAGGCTGCAGGAGGAATCCGAGGTGGGGTTGGGTAGTCAAGATGACGGGTGGCAACTGGTCAGCTGCTCCTTCTGCTGGAAGTAGAACCGGAAGCGAGACTGGGCATATTCCTAAGGAAGGGAACGGGAATGCAGAGCAGCAAGAAGGCTTGGAAGCAGGAGCCAAACCTGCTGTGTTCTGCCCACAGCCACCGGGGACTGCCTGGATCTGCTGGAGGGCGTGACCAGTGCTCTCCTCAAGCCCCACCCAACATGCCCACCCAAAGAGCTGCTTACCAAGTAGCCAAACTCTATGGTGGACATGGATGCCTGGAGGATGGACCACAGACCCCAGAAAAAATGAGATGCCAGCGCATACCTAGGGAATGGGGGGGGCAGGAAAAGGGGGTGCAATCAAGAGTATTGCCTGGCTTCCCCCAAGGCTCGTCAGTTTGTAAAGCTCCAACTTCTTCCCCATTTTACTAATCTTTATCCCAGTGTGACTTATTTTTTTTTTTGGGGGGGGGGTTCACGACAAGGTTTCTCCGTGCAGCTTTGGAGACTATCCTGGCACTAGCTCTGTAGACGAGGCTGGCTTTGAACCCATAGAGATTCATCTGCCTCTGCATCCCAAGTGCTAGGATTAAAGGCGTGTGCCACCACTGCCCAGCTCTTTTTCTTTTATGCTAGCCTCTGATGTCATCTTTCACCTCTATCCTTCCACAATTCTCCCTTTCCTTCTGTCCTCACTCCCCCTTTCCTTCTAAATCCTCCCTTCCACCCTCTCCCCTTTCCTTCTATGTCCTCCCTCCCTCCCTCTTCCCCCTTTCCATGTCCTCCCTCACTCCCCCTCCCCCTTTCCTTCTCCATCCTCCCTCACTCCTGCCCTTCCCCTCTTTTCTTTTTTTGGTTTTTTGAGACAGGGTTTCTCTGTGGTTTTGGAGCCTGTCCTGGAACTAGCTCTGTAGACCAGGCTGGTCTTGAACTCACAGAGATCCGCCTGCCTCTGCTTCCCGAGTGCTGGGATTAAAGGCGTGCGCCACCACCGCCCGGCTCTTCCCCTCTTTTCTCACCGATTGACTTCTATCAGCAAATCTTCTTCCAGTTTCTTCTGCTCCTCTTCAGAGCGGATCTGACCTTTCTGGACCTCTGCCAGATAATGGCGAATGAAATGGAGCTAAGATCAATGGACAAGTGTCAGGACTGAGGAGACTGTGGAATATTACCCTTTCTAGCCATTCTTTCCTTTTACCAAAAATAAATAAAAAATAAATAAAAATGTTTTTCTTTTCCCAACCTCCAGCTACATACCTGCTGTCCTCTAGTGGGGTAGTCTGTGGGCCTTGCTTTGTAGAAAGGCCATTCCTCGTGGGTATAATCATAAACCCACTCACAAAAATGATTCCCAATGTCAAAGCCCCTGAGGGAAGAAAGCAAACGTCCGTCCGTGGGCAGCTGGGATGTAGAGATGAAGGCCCCGCGGTCTGTCTGAGCAGAGTCCTGCAGGAACAGGCCCCACAGGAGGCTCTCCTCCCACTCTTACCTGTAGTTATAACTACTGTACTCAAAGTCAACCAGCATGAGGCTGTCGTCATTTTTCGGCTCTGAGAGCAGCAGGATGTTCCCTGGGGGCATGGGGTTGTGGTCACGTCAAGGCACGCTACCCCTTTCAGTGTGGGCTTGGAGACTCACACTTTCTCATACCTTCCTGGATGTCATTGTGGCAGAAGACCACTGGGGATGGGGTGGCTTCTAGCAGCTTCCTGCAGAGGGAGAGGGGCACAGGTGGTAAGGCCATGTGACTACAGCCACCTTCCAAGGCTAGCCCTGGCTCTAGCCCTCAGCAAAGCTGGGGAGGACACTGCTGAATGCCAGGTCTGCCTTCACCTGAGGTTGCCCATCTCATCCTTCAGGCTGTACGTCTCCAGCAGGTTCATCTGGGGGAGGCCAGTGGAAGGCAGGTCCTGGATCTGCTTGAGGTACCTGTAAGCCCCCCAACAGGATACATTCACTCTCCTACCTACGTTTTAGGTCGAGTTTTCCTGTCCCTCTGACTTGGCTGGGAAACATGAGAGTCCATGACAGATATGGGGAAACCTGTCCACTCAACTAGAGGTTGGGTCAGTGTAGGTGTCCCATTCCCAAATTTGACTCACCGCTCCATGGTCCCGAACAACCAGTGGGGCTCCTTAGTGAAGGGCATCTCCATGCCATGGAAACGGGCCATCTTGGTTGCAATGGCTCCTGACAACACTGGGTCCCGGAGCTCTTGAGTTTTCAATGGTCGGCTCTGTACCCAGTAACCTATCAGGGTGGTGAGGGGGCTGGGGCGGGAGGGGGAAGGGACATGGGATGGGAGGAGATCAAGGTCTTAGGGAAATTTCCCTACCTAGGATGTGAAGGCAGACATTGGGGAAGGGGAAGGACTTGGTATAAAAACAACAACAAAAACTGGGCTCTTACTGGGAGGTACTGTTCCAGGCGGCCCTCTGGAAACACTCCATAAAGTTGGGGCCCTAGTGACCTCTCTGCAAGAATGGCGAACATCACACTCTCTAATACCAATGAGTCTACACCCTGAAGGAAGATGACAAAGGGTCCAAGTCAGAAAGAGCCAGAAGTATGTGGGCCTGAGTGCAAAGGGATGTTTTCTTCATCCATCATAGCTGGGACTTCAGGTCTTACTGACTGGGGCTTCTGGAGCAAAAGCTCTAGATGGTCTACGAGCATCAACATACTCAGATGCACAATGACAAGTTTCTGCTGTGCTCACTTCAAGTTACGGCCCTCGCTCCCCCTCACCTGCAGGATGGCCCCATACAGTCGTAGTAGCACCTCGCGGGGCTCCTCGCCCACACTGGGCAGGTGGTTCGGTAGCGAGCATCGGAAGAGCAGGTTGCTAAGGCCTCCGCTGCAGATCCACACGGGTCAGGCTCAGCAAAAGTCGCCCGGATTGCTGAGACCCACCCTAGTCCCTATTCCCGAGGAGACCTCACCACGCCCTCAGGAAGATCCCGACCCCCGCTGCAAAGCGATCTGCAGATCTGGTCCTGGCCCCGGCCCCTCCCCCGCGGAGCACCGACTGCGTGGGAATAGGGAGTGTCTGGAGGACCCCGAGGCTGACCCCTGACCTCACGGGGCAAATGCTCAGCTCCTCCGGCCGGGCTCGACGCCAGGCCCCGCCCAGGTACTCCCGGCACCACTGATAGGCTCGGCGCTGCGCGTCACGAGACAGCGAGGAAGCGCGCCGCCGTTGAGGGATGGCCGCTGGGCACTTAGCATCCTGCAAACTGTCTTTGGTCAGGCAGCCGCCGACAGCGCCTCCTCCGGCTACACCTGTCCCGTCCGCCGCCATGACGTGGACTCCGTTAGGCTCAACGCTTGCCGGTGCTCAGCAACCTTCAGGTGGGCTTAGCTCCTTCCGGCTCTGCTCGGTTCCGCTTCCGGCCGGTCCGGAGCGTCTCTGGGCGTACTCGGCTCTTGGCGACGGCCTTCGGCTTGCTTCGTGGTCCCAGTCCTGGGACTGTTTCCAAGTCAAGTGAGAGTCTCAGGGGTGCGGCGTTCAGGGCAAGGACCGACGGCTCTTTTCCCTGGCGGGATGCGGTCTGGTCCCGCCCTGTGGGCGGGTCTCGGTTAAGATAGGGCTCCTGCGTGGACCGTGTCCCGAGCCGAGGAAGTGACGTAGGCCAATCCGGAGCGCCGTGGACGGTTGGACTTTAGCCCAGCAACGGTGACCCGGAGCCAGGCTCTGGCCAATGAATGGGCGATGGTGCTAGATTGCGACTTCCTTATAGCACCTGCGTTTTTGAGATGCCCGACTAGTGCGTAGAGTGATCGAGCACACAGTGGCATTTTGGTGAGTGAATAGAAGAATGAGATTTTAAATTCCAGCAGTTCCCCTTTCCACAAGGCAATATGTATATGTAATGCTGGAAGGCGAAATTGGAATCAGCACGGCGTCTCCAGCACTGCATGGACCGCATGAGCACTGTGAATGCGAACCAACACAATAAACTTAAATATTATGAAGTGGATTTGTGTGTGTGTGCGACTTCTGTTAAATATCGGGACGCGACTTCTGTTAAATATCGGGACGCGGGGGACGACGACATTAGTGGTCAGTTCAGAAAGGAAGCCAACACAATTCATAATTCCTTTGAAGGATGAGGTTTATTAGAATGTAAGGCCTCGAAGCCATGCTTGCACTTCGGGATGGTCAGAGAGAGGATCACAGAAATCATAAAATATATGGAGCTCTAAACGTGAGACCCCCAAGTTAAGAGTCCCCTTTAAAGTCTAGGGAGGAACTTCGTTAACAGTGTGTAAGAGAGGTAGGCATAGTGGTGCAAGCCCTCACTCCCAGCATTCAGGAGGAAGAAACCCGGTGGTTAGTTACCTGTGAGTTCGAGGCCAGCCTACTCTACAGATCGAGCTCCGGACCAGCCAAGGTTACTCAGTGAGACCCTGTCTCAGAAAAGAGATTCCATGAGAAGGAATGGGGGAGCGTGCAGAGGTGCTGATCAGAGAGCAAGCAGGCTTCAATCTCCGGAAACCCCCGAGGAGTTTCTAGACCAATCTCCCAAATAAAAGAGGAACTTGGCTTTTTTTTTCCCTCCTTTTATTTTTTTTTTAAATTAAACTTTTTAGGGGTGTCAGGAAGTTTCACATCACTTTAGTTAAACATAGCTCATA